AATACATTCAGTTAGATCTTCTGTATAGGCTTCACACTTCATGCTCATCCTTGGGTGACGCCATCAGTCTTATGACTGCAGTTATCAATAGTATTCTGATAACCCTCCAAGCCTCTCTAGCTAAGAATTAAAAACAAAAAAACAGTGTATTTATGCCCATAGGTTTTTTAAAACTAAACCTATATCATCAGGGGCACGTGGGTGGCTTCGTTGGTTAAGCGTCCGACTCTTGATTTCAGCTCAGGTCATGATCTCAGGGTCGTGAGATCGAGCCCCGCGTCGGGCTCCGTGCTGAGCATGGAGCCTACTTCAGATTCTCTCTCCCTCTGTCGTCCTGTCCCCCCTCCCCACCCCGCTCTCAGCTCATGGTCTTTCTCTCTTACACATTAAACCTATCATCGTTTCTTTCCCTCATCCCTCAAATCACATCTTCCTGATGCTGGCAGGCTGTGGTATCAGAAATCCAGTGTGAGCCAGCAGGAGGGGGAAGCGGAGTTTATTGAAGGGATAGAGGTGTGCAGGTGCAGACAGAGTGAGGGTCTGGGAGACTTAGAAAGGAGAGTCCCCTCTTTGGGGCTGGAGGTTTTTATTGATTGTGCATCCAGGAACAGGAGGGTCGTTATTCCTTAGAGCCAGTAGGCCCTGGCATCCAGTTGTCTAGTGCCAGTGGTCTGAAATATGCATATGATGGCTTCGTCCAGTCATTTTCACCTGGTTGTTCCTTAGGTGTTATCTGTCCTAGAGAAATCACTAACTACTTATCCCTTACAAGGAGGACACACACTGCACTCTGAGGACTGTGTGAAGTGGGAGTGCAGGTCTATTCTTGCTAGAATAGAAGTGGGGAAAAAGCAAAAAGCAGGGTTTTATGGAGTCCTTCAGTTTCCCTGTCTCATTCCTATATGTCCCATTTCTGAGAACGAACAGACTTCTACCCAGTTGCTCTGCAGAGAAACCTGTGTGTTATTTTTAAAATTTGGTATGAAATTAAAATGACATAGAAGTAGCTTTTTAAAAGTGTACAGTTCAGTGTATGGAGTGTATTCACAGTGTTGGGCAAACCACTGTCTCTTTAGTTTCTAAACTTTTTTCATCACCCCACAGACACCCACCATGGCCATATCCCGTTTCCCCATCTGTTGGCAACTCTGTTCTGCTTTTTGTCTCTGTGGATTTGCCTTTTCTGGATGTGTCCTATAAATGGAATCCTACAATATGTGACCTTAGGTGTCTGGTTTCTTTCACTGAGCCTAGTGATTTTGAGGTTCATCTAGGTTGTTCCTTATACCAGTACTTCGTTCCTTTCTGTGGTTGAGTCATACTCAGTTTGTGCACATACTCCATAATTTACCCACGGACGTTCGAGTTGTTTTCCACCTTTGGACCATTACAAGTAATGCTGATATATAAACATTTTTGTAGAGCTTTTATGTGGACAGGTGGATGCCTTCCTTTCTCTTGGGTATATACCGAAGAGTGAATTACTGGGTTATATGGTAACTTTGTGTTTAACTTTTTGAGGAAATCTGCGTCATTTTAACCCTCACATCACCAAGTTTGATTGGTTGATTCTTTCCCCAAATGTCCTTGTTTCCCGTCATTATTCCCAGTGGCATCCTACTAAAGGTACACTTTCCAGGATTACCTTTATGGCTTCCTTTTTGGTTTCTTTGTTGTCACTGTGGCCTTATTCTGTGTCATCTTTCACACTCTGCAAGATTTGTTTTTTAAAATGTGACTCTCATGGCCACCTCATTGTTTTAAAAACAAAACAAAACACAAACCCTTCAAAGGCTTGTCATTGCCCTCTGGATACAGGGCTTACAAAGGCCCTTTGCTGCCCAGCTTCTGACCTTCTGTCTGCTCTCGGCTGCATGCCCTGCTTTGTTCTAGCCAGCTCCTGATCTCCATGTTTCAAGTTCTTGTGTAGGCTCCTCTGTCTGAACCTCGCAGCAGCCATCCAAATACTTTGTCTTTTTTCCGATGTCTCCTCTCTTTTTAGAAGCTCTTTTCTGTCTCTTCATGATTATAAGGTGCCCTTCTTTGGGCCCTCCAAATTACTGTACTGCTGTTGGAGCATTTATCACAGATGGTACTTGCCTGTTTACTTCCATGGGAATCAGGGGCTGAGATTCCACAGGAATCGAGTGTCAGGGATAGAGTACACACTAGAAGTATAATTACTGGGAACTTAGCAGAAGTCAAAAGACGATTATTTGGTAAATTATTTAGGGAAGACCTCATGGGAAAGGGAAACATTCGTGAAGGTGTGGTATCACACACCTTATACCTATGGGTCCAGGCCCTGGGGGACCCCTGCTAGGGGCAGAAGCCACGACAAAAGTGAGATACCGGATATCTTCAGTGTTGCTTTTGTGTTACTTACAAGCAGTAGACATAATCACTCCTGTAGAAGAAAAGCATGGAGAATGTGCAAAGTGTTTTAGAAATTATGGTGTATTGACAAAAGTGAGAAGCAGTGATGTACTTTCTGGGACATGTAAGGGAATTCTCAAGGATAATTTTGACCGTATATGCTAATTGCAGAACTTACCCCACCTCCATTTATAAAACTCCACTGGACTTCTGATGGAAAATACAGCAAGAGGGTGATTTTCTGGATAAATTATAGAATCCTCCCAAGAGGGGCACCTGGGTGGCTCAGTCATTGAGCGTCTGCCTTCGGCTCAGGTCATGGTCCCAGGGTCCTGGGATCAAGCCCCAATCAGGCTCCCTGCTCGGCGGGAAGCCTGCTTCTCCCTCTCCCACTCCCCCTGCTTGTGTTCCCTCTCTTGCTGTGCCTCTCTCTGTCAAATAAATAAATAAAAAAATCTTTAAAAAAAAAAAAAGAATCCTCCCAAGACTTGAATACCGTGTTGAAGAAAATGGTCTGAGAAATATGATAATGTTCGTCTAGAAAAAGAACATAAGCCCTTAACTTCGGTGGTCTGGGCTCCGCCCCGCCCTGGTGGACTTTGGGGTAGGACTCCGGGTGCCCTCCCTGCGCCCTGCCCTCCCTCCCTGCACGCATGCTGGCAGCTCAGGGAGTGTTTACATGCAGAAACAAAATGCAATTCTTCCTGTCTTTCCATTTTCAGTATCCTTTTAAAAATGTCTTAGACTAGCTATTTAAAAGTAAAAATACATTTCTTGCATTTTGAAATACAGTACTGATTTAAAACGTTAGATAGGTCTACGTTGCCTTTTAGGCAAAAATTTAGACTTCTAAAAAATCTTTCAACTTTTGAGAAAAGCCATTCATATTTAAATATAAATAAAATTTGCCTTTAGGCTCTGTGTTTCACTGGCATGTTGGGGTGTTAAATCCTAGTTGTTGAGTAGCATCTCCTCATCCCTCAAAAAATTAAGATCTTCTCCATTACTAACACACTTTATTCAGTCCTCTGTAAAAACGCTCTGGGTCGTATTACGCTTACTTTTATCATTAGACTGAACTCTTTGAGGCTGATTGCAGGAAGCATGTGAGAATCACACACCTGTTCAGGCCCCCAGCACATCCCTCCCAGACTGCTCTCTCTCCAGCGCTTGGCCCCCACTTCTCAGTTGGAGCCAGTCAGTGCTCCCTGTTTGAACTCCCTGTTGCTGATTTCTATATGCAGTGTGTGTGTGTATTTACTACCATGATAGTGTTGATTGCTTCACAGGCCTGTTTGTGTATTAATATGTATCAAATTTTCTTTTTTTTTTTTTTTTTAAGATTTTATTTATTTATTTGACAGAGACACAGCGAGAGAGGGAACACAAGCAGGGGGAATGGGAGAGGGAGAAGCAGGCTCCCCGCAGAGCGGGGAGCCCGATGCGGGGCTCGATCCCAGGACCCTGGGATCATGACCTGAGCCGAAGGCAGTCGCTTAACCGACTGAGCCACCCAGGTGCCCTGTATCAAATTTTCTAATTTAAATATGTGCAGTTCACTGAATGTCAATTATACCTCATTAAACAGCTGTTTTAAAAAATCTGTAGATAATACCCACCGCCAGTAGGTCATTATTAAGCCCTGTGTGTCTAGGAACCATCAGACTGCACTCCTGACCTGGTCCACTAAGCTCCCTTGTTGGCCTACGTCTCCCCCACTCCCCCCACTAGTCCTTTGCTTCCATCATTTTCCATCCATGCCAGAGCACTCTCTCTGGAAGAGAAAATTCTCATGATACCACTGCCATTCCTGTAGGCTCCAGCTGTTCTTCTTTTCCTGTTCTTCCTCCTCCTCCTCCTCCCTCTTCCCCCCTCCCCCTCCCTCCCTCCCTCCCGTCTTCCCCCCCCTTCCTAGTCCTTCTTAAAAAAAAAAAAAAAAA